TTCTCGATAGTATCGTCATCAAAGACAACGAGGGTGTGGTCCTGGCGCTCTTGGCGTCAAAGTATCCACTTTCCTGCACCTGCACCACCACCAAACTTCACAACAGACGCATACGAATTCTTAACCTTAGAAGTCATTTTCTCTCGTTGGAGAGCAAGATCCCGAAACTGTCTGTAATTGTACTTGTCTGACTTTGACTCTGCCACAAGTTGTCCGCGGATGGGCTCGGGCAGAGCATGAGAATAGATGTACAAGACTTGGTTGTCTTGCAGGTTCAATCTAGGAACCTGTAGCAACCAGTCAACTTTCCGAGACAAAGCTTCTACCGAGGTCCAATGTTTTTGACCAATGTTAGTGAGCTGGCCAAAGGCCTTGTCGACCATTTTCTCATCCAGGAAGCGTTCCTTGATCTCGCCAAGGAACTGCTTTAGATTCAAGGTTGCAGCCCACTCCCCAATGTCATCGAACCCCACTGCGTTGGCTTCGGCCAATCATACCCATTCCTTAGCTTCCTCCCCAAGACAAGAGGTAGAAAAAGCAACCTGAGATTCATGTTCAACAAGGGCCGTACTGCAGTATGTCTGAATTTCGGTAATCCAGAGCAATAGATTTTCATCTTTCATGTTGCAGAACGTGTACGACAATTTCATCTTTACCTTCTCTTTCTTCTTAGGTTTCTCAGACTGTGTGGTGTGGTCCTTTTTCCTGTTTGGAGACTTCGGCAGACTCGAAGGTTCTCATTTCTTCTCTTCCGGTTTCTTCTCTTCTGGTTTCTTCTCTTCCGGTTTAGTCTCTACATTAAGAGACTTTATGGCATCACCTAATAATTTCTTTGGTTTTTCTTCTTTTTCAATTTTTACTTCCTCAACCACCTGGTGCTTTCCTTTGACTAGATTTGTGATTGTCTGTAGTCCTGCGGCCACATTATCAATCTGTGTCTGCATCCGTTCACCATACTAATCAATTTTCATTTCAAGGTGGGCAAGGTAAGTCACAAGCTGAGCCAAAAAAATTTTCTGCTCTTCCCCGTCGGTCTTGATAACAGTTTGTCTGATTTCTTTAATTTTCTGTTCTTGTTGTTCACTCTTTTTCTTCCTCAACTCTTCTTTCTTTTTTTTCTCCTTCTCCAGTGGTTCCTCTAACTGTCTGATATTTTCATCCACAGTTTCTTCAGACACAGTTATTTCTTTCTCCTCTTTTTGGTCTGCAATTTTCCTAAGTTGCTCAATGACATACTCATCAAATGTCTGTCGACACTTGATTAGTACATCGTGAACCTGTATGGTGTCGGTGCCTAATTTAGCCTGTTCGATAGCAGCTCGTGCTGCCTTCAAATCAAACTTTTCTCGCACATATGCCTCGACTTCGGCACCTGTACCACGAAGGTCAGACATCAATTGGTCCAAGCGGGCATTCAAAACCTTCTTCCGCACGTCCACTTGATATCTGGTTCGAAGGTCAGGGGTCTCCTCATCAATACGGAAGATGAATGAGACTGAATAGAAGAGAAAGAGAATAAAACGAGTAAGCACCGACAATTTCAGAGAATTCCAGAGAAAAGACATCGTGACGTATGTCTGCCGCACAATAAATAATCAATTAATAATAATAAATTCTACGACCGCACTATTCTACAACAGAAAGGATTTCGATGGCCGAAGGAAAAAATAATTACAACTATTTCTACTTCTGACTTTTGTTATTCTTTGTTCGTCTGTGTGATGACGTCCTAAACAAGAGTGTACGGGTACTACGTCAGGCCCGTATGATCAGATACAACACACAAGTAAGTACGCACAACACCACAACACAACAAACGACAAGGTAAGTATGCCAACAACAACAACAATCAATTTGTAAGCACCCTTTTTCTTTCCGCTGAGTCATCTAGGTGTCAATGCGATAATGCACCCTCCTTGATAGCTGGCACTACATCTATCTAGTCAGTCATTCAATCAATCGTACCACCGTCGTCTTCCGAGTGCTTCTCTTACTTGACAACCACCTGCCTGCCTCGTGTCATCCCTGGAGTGCTAACATAGCAGATCCTGCCACGTCAGCAAATGTGTGCTCCGTCCTTCCCATGTGCCACTTCCACACGTTGTATCGTGATACCGTTGTCGTTCCAACCAATCGGACAATGCCACGTTAGCCAATGGAGACCGATGCCACGTTAGTAGGAAATCAACACCTCAAGAAGACAAGTGTGATGACTTCTTCCCTGCCACGTCAACAACCAGTCCCGATTTTCCCAAAAGCCACGTCAGCTTCTGTAACAGACCTGGTCGCACATAAGCTGCTAATGCAGCGTGAGAATGCCACGTCAACAATCACCAACAACCAGGTCTTCAGACGCGGCACATGATATGCCACGTCAGCAAGGGATCGTGATGCTACTTCATTATCGCGATCCAGGCTGGCACGTGGTAACTCTCGGTCGCGGTTCCTAATGCCACGTCAGCAGCCACGTCAGGATCTTCTCTCGCCAATGAAGTCTCTACCACGTCAGCAACTCCGGCGGTCGTCGTCAATATCAATGCCGGTTATCATCACCTTTGGCCCGCGCGCATCTTACCTGGCGCCAGCTGGCGCACGCGCGTGCGTCGTCGTCGTTGTCAGGAGTATTGGTCCAATACCAAATTGCAATGAACCCAGATCGTGAAGACACTTGTCAACAATGCAAGCCCAGATGAATGCCAACCCGCTAATGATTATCAATAATCAGAATCGTGTCCAAATAGAATGAGATGGGATAATCATACACAGACGAAGGAGAGAGGAGGGAGATTAGACAAAGGAGAGGAATAAATAACATGGCTCACTCCTGCTTCGGGCTCCCTCCTCAATCACCACCTCAAATGATCAATAGTCTGAACACACATCTAAAGTTTTGTTCCAGTGTGCCACGTGGCACATCTATCAGACCCTCATCAGCGTATTGGAGCTATGTCGACCTCAAGATAACCAGTTACGTGTTCACAATCATCCCACAGTCATGATCTCCTCCCGAGTGACGATGAATCAAAACAGCAGTCCCGTTCATGTAGCCCAGCCACGTCAGAAGATAGAACAAGTGGCAGCGGCCACATCAGCAGCAATGCGTGGCAGCTGCCACGTCGGCATGCCTTCAAGACAATGGCCAGCCAGCCACCATGCCCAACTAGCAGTGCGTTGCTGTAATCTCCCAAGTGCCAGCACAAAGCCAGCGCCCACCAGCGTCGCCTCGTCCACCCAGCGTCACGTTGTCAACGCGTGAAGTCAGCATTGACGCAAGACTGAATGAATGTCAAAGCCAGGAAAGTCAGCGCTTATGTAGCGTTGACTCGGGGTCTGGGCCCCGGATGCTACCACCCTCAGCCGTCCAGATCTCGATACAAACTAAGGCCCAGATTGGTCTGAAACCGAATTCCCTCCGGCCTGGATGCTTGTCTGGGTACCTGCGCACAACAAGTGAGTGTATCCAACCAAGGGCCTGGGTGYGGTACCTTTGACTCTACAGTTGACTTTGACCCTTGAATTTCCTGCCAAACGTGACAGACTCAGGCCTGGGCGTGTCTTGGTCACACAGCCCAGCGCAGACCAACTCAGGTCTGCGTTGCCTGGGGCTGAGTTCTGGGGCCCAGGCTACTTCTGAAAAGTTTACTGCAACTGCTTATTCTTCTTGCCCAGCTCCTGGTCATTGAACCTATAGGTAGTTTTTAGTTTCTAAAGGCTTAGCCGTTTACTTGGATGCTGGCGGAAAGTAACATTGCCTATTTAGGCAACTGAGCACGGTTCGATAGTAGTTTAGTATCCAGGAGCAACACTGCAATGATCTGCTAGTTGGCACAGACTGAACTTTAGCACCAAGTAGGATGGTGCCTTGTTTCTACACGAAATTACTTTGAGCTTCAAGGGGTTTTGGAAGATGAGGATAGACCAGTGAAAGGAAGGGAAGCTGGACCCGTTTTTTTCCAGCTACAGCCCAATTGGTGTTATTGGTCATATCTTCGGTGTTGTTTGTGAGGAATTCCCGGCCTCCTTTCATTTGTAATAAAAGCTAATGATTCTTCCAAAAAAAGAAAAAAGAAAAGGCCACGGGGAGCGAGGTCCCACTAGCGGAGGGGATTGGATAAATATCCTGAATCTGGACGTGGTTTAAGAGGACATGCAGAAAAGCAGTTCAATCTGGACATTCTGCACCTTTCCACAAACACGACCAGATTCAGGTCTTCAATCCTATCCGCTTTTCTAGTGTGACCTGTCCCCCGGTGTCAGATTAGACACAAGATTGAATTTACCTTGGGCTGGTTAGTCCGATGATAGAAGAACATAGCTTAAAAAAAAAAAAAAAAGGCCTTCATTCAAAAAGAAAAAAAAAAGAAAAAAAGAAAAAAGAAAAGGCCTTCATTCGAAAGGCTGTGTGGCGAGCCCCTTTGCCAGCTTCTTTTGGTAGACGGCGAACTCCCGCGAGATTCTGGGCCTTGCCACACCACTCTTGAAATGTGAAAAAGACAAAAATGTGACGGGTGCATCTGGCCATGTTCTAGCGGGGAGTTCATTCTCATTTTGCACATTTTGACACTCGTGTGGCAATGCCCTCTCCCCCAAGGATATCGCGTGCATAAAGTGGGAGCGAAGCGCGCGAAACGCTCTGCAGGGGATGAGACCGAGTCCATTGGCAGGCGCGAGGCGCCGCTGGCTGCCATGTGGATGCCACGTTGGCGTCCACGTCCTGTCGTCGGCGATAGAGATCAGATACCGTCGCCTGAAGAGCACCAGTGAGGAGAGCATTCCTGGAGAGAGATGGCGAACGCCTCCGCCAACTGTGCTGCTGCTGCTGGGCGCCACGTGGATCGGATGGGGCTGTCGACGTACGACGAGGTGCTGACGTGGCGGCACCTCTCCCTGGTCTTGAGAGAGAAGCCGCCGGCTTATGCCAGTTGCTCGCCACCGACGACTTTTCCACAGTCCATTGGGCTCGCGACACTGCGTTGTTGCTTGGGTGGCACGGTAGCCGGCCGGTCTTGGGCCTCGCCGCACGGCACACGAAGCGAAAAAAACAAGAGTGCATCTGTCCACACCTGGTGGCAAAGTGCATTCGATAGTATTTGCAGTAAACGAATGAATCAATATGTCTTTTCTGGGAAGTCAAACTCAAAAAAAAAAAAAAAAAACTCGTTTCGTTTTCCCTTTCGCGTGCCGTGCGGCGACGCCATTTGCGGCGGCCTGATGATGCAGACGGCTCTACCTCAACAAACCCTATCCAGTTCCCTAGTCCAGGTGCATTGCACGTGGCCCAGCGGATCTTGGTGCGCTGGATGTGGCTTGTGCCCGTCATATCCTCGACGTGCCACGTCTTCGCCCGCGGCTGCTGCCCTTCGGCTGAGTTGTCCTCAGGCGCATGGCCAGACGAGCAAGCCTGGTCGTCCGCCCATGGCCTCGCCCATGGTAGTCTGGCGATGGCAGACGGCTCGCGTGGATGAGGATGGGAGAGAGGAGGGTGCACAAGGTATGGAGTTGAAGGAGGAGCAGCAGGAGGAGGAGGAGGAGGAGGAGGAGGAGGAGGAGCAGGGGATGCGGCAGGAGAAAGGATATGCGGGGGAGCTACAGGAAGCGTCCTTGGGCAATGTTGATATGGCGGATGGGAGCAAGGGGCAGAAAGAGCGGTCGTGTTGGATGTTCGCATATGGAGCCAACATGTCGATGACGGTCTTGAGAAGAAGGGGGGTGAGGCCAAGCAGGTCTGTTCCCGCAACTCTGCCGGGATTCTGCCTAGTTTTCAATCACAGAGGAGGTAAGTATCAGCTGCCAATTTGCTGACCGTTTGTTTTGTTTCTAAAAAGGCCCAACCAATTCAATTACCTGTGGAATCTGGACAGGACGGCCTTTGAGGCCTTCGTTTTTTTTTGAATTGTCAAAATTTGTCATTATATTATTAGGGCGCTCCTCGTAGCAGCCATATCCACATCCGAGCCTCCAACGAGGGAACATGAGGGAGCTGCTGCACCCACCAGCAGGCGCCATCCCCGGTACAGCAGGTGGGCTATACCGGCCAGGGGTCAGCAGCCACATAAGTGTTCAAGCCTCCAACGAGGGAACATGCGAGAGCTGCTGCACCCACCAGCCGGTGCGATCCCTGCTACAGCAGGTCGGCTGACCCCCTGGCCAGGGGTCAGACGCCAGCATAGGGACCGAGCTTCTTCAATGGGCCAATTGCTGTGCCTCCCCTCCGATCCCCTCCCCCTCGAACATCAGCGGTGTCTGCTGAATGCGGCATCAGGACCACCAAAAAAAGGTAGAGTCACAAGAACGAGTTATAATTGCACTATGGGCCAAGATACAGTTTGCAATTGCACTTCGGGCACCCTACCTGGCCAGAAAGCTTGGTTGTATACATTGCCCAAACCGCAGTTTGAAACTGTATCTTGGCCCATAGTGCAATTATAACTCATTTTTGTGACTCCCGCGTAGTTTCCCCCGAAAAAAAAAGGACCACTTGGATGGGCCAGTCGCTGTGCCTCCCCTCCGGTCCCCTCCCCCTGTGAACATCAGCAGTTGCTGCTCAGGGGAATCAATGGCCTATCTCTAGGTGGCAGGTGCCAAGCTTGCCCAGGGAGGTACATGAGGCCAATGACTGACCATTTGCCAAGGGCGCCAGTGTTTCTTTTCCTTCCCCTTTTTCTTTGGGGGGGGGGAGGCCGCACTACTGCTCTGGGCGTACCCACACTATCTCAATCGCAGGGCACCCACACCATCTCAATTGCATATGTATCTGGCTGCATTCGCGGCCATACGCCGCACTGCTGCTCTGGGCGTACCCACACTATCTCAATCGCATATGTATCTGGCTGCATTTGCGGCCATACGCAGATGAATCTGACCACAACTACGTCCATAAAGAAAATATGTTAAACCACCCGTACTTCCTAAAATTGCGTAGCGTTAACGCTACGCAATTTTAGGAAACGTACGGGCCACTACAGGAGCGCCCAAATTCATCCAACTAGAAACGTTTCTACTCTATTTTTTTTCCGCGGCCGATAGCTGGGCCAAGTACTGGTGGTTTAAGAAGTTGGTGTCATTATGCCTTCAATTGGCTCCCACCTCAGATGGTGAAGGGCGGTCTGATACCCTTTGGCTGCTGGCTCTGGGGGCACAAACGGCCTGGACGCACCACTCACCAAATGTGCAAAAAGAGAATGAACTTTCGGCTAGAACATTGAAAGATGCAAGGCCACAACTTTTGTCTTTTGTGCATTTGGCCAGTGTCTGTGCCTCCCAAGGGCATACGATGCCCCATCCTTCTGGAGTTTTTTAGCTTTAGTGGGAATTTAGCAAACCTTGCTCAAGGCATACTCACACTAGGACTTTTCCCACTTCTCTGTGGACGTAATTGCAGTCAGGGGCATTCAGGCGGTCACATAACCACTCATATACATCCATGAATGTCCCAGTGCGAGTATGCTCTGAGTTGCGTAAGGGTCTCGCCGCACTACGCATGTAACAAACCTAAACGAATCACTGCGAATCACTGCGACGCGCGAGCTTACGGGCATGGGGTTGTATGCAATGCTTTTGCTATGGTTTCGGAAACGCAATTGGATGGGCTTGTCTTTGGTGGAATATTATGGCTGGCTTGTGTCCGTGAATCCATCTTCGAGTTGTATTTCTTTTTTGCTAAGTTACCCTCGCAACTTTTGTGAATTCCTTTTTTTTTTTTTTTTTTTTTGGAACTTCGAGTCGCGGATACCACTTAGGGAGGTGATAAGAGCATCCTCCCTAAGTGGGTCCCCGGTTGAAGGCTCCATCTATTGGTGGGGAGCTGCACCTGCTAGAAACCGGGTCCAGCGTTCCTCATATTACAGGACATATCAATGACTGACAAATGTTTGGACAACTGACATATGCTGGCAGAGTTCACTGTCCTTCCTGTTGCCTGTCCCCCCGAGGCATGGTGAGGGCAGGGGTACCTGACTTGAGATGGCAGGGTTTTGGGGCCTTTTGTGTTTGCTGATGACAGGGAGTAGTGAGGTTGGTGCCGGCTGCGGCCGTAGGGAGTCTTTGCAGAGTGAAAGGTGAGGTTTTCCCCCCTTTTAGCCCCTGTACCAAGGGGAGTGTAGCCAACAGTCCCATCTGCTATGATATAGTCGTACTCTTCCGAGGGCGGCTTTCAACCTTCCGCTGTCCTGTGACGAACCAATTTCTGTTCCACGCGATCTTCTGCGCGATAGCGATGAGGGGTCCTAAGATGGGAAGGATGGGCCAATTACGGGAGATCGGGATCGAAGGGAAATTGCATCGGTGTCCTCGCTTCTTCGTCTTTTTGCGTCGCTTCTTTTCGGATGGCTGGGTTCAGGGCCGGGCAAATCCCGAGATGGCCGATTGAGTGGCTGTCGCGCCGACAAGGGTGCGATTAATAATGTTTGACGTCGCTTCTTTCTTGTTCTGTTGTTGGGTTTTAGGCGCGGAGGTCGTGCGGGAAGTTTTTGCTTCTTTTTTAATTTCTTTTTCGAATCTTGTCGAGCCCTCGATGGCTCTTGGAATTTTGGACTTTCTTTTCGGAATTTGCGTTTTATTAAAAGTTCCTTTTGCAATAAGTTTAGGAATTTAGGAATTTAGGAATTTAGGAATTCGGGATTTCTTTTGCCGCGCATTGTTTTTCTTGCGCGCTTCTTTTTGCGGCTGCAGCGGAGCTATGATTAGTCGGCGCCCTTAATCTCGTGTGTAACTGCAATTTTTGGGCAGGCGCCATGATTGTAACTGTATCTCTTTTCTTGAGCTTCGTCTTTCCCACCCTCTCCTTTCCTTTTTGTTGGGCGGTCTAGCCCGTGGGCTGCATGATCGGATCGATGCGCGGAGGGTGGCTACGTCCCCCACGCCGCGGTCTGCCCATGCAGAACGTAGGCGCTCCCGCTCTTAATCTCCTTTCTAAGTCCTTGCCATTCCGTGTTCTTCGCCCTTGCATGCACGCTATAAATTTCGGTTGCGTGATTAGATAGCTCTCTTAACCAGTTCCTGGAAGCTCGGGGTAGCGCGATCAGTGAGGGTCGGCTCACGAGCGAAGTAAGAGGTAAGTTGAAGTGGGAGTCGGACGACCCGACGAGCTGGTGCCGAATGCTCGGGGTTGACGCGTGGGGCTATGACGGACTGTAGCGCGCGGGCGAACCTGACGGGTGCAGGAGGACTAAGCGGGGTGACGACTTCGTGGGTTGGTGCGTGACGATGGACTTTCCGCATCGGAGAGAGAGAGAGAGAGAGGAAGAGAGAGCTGAGGTTGATGAACGTGGATTTGCAATTTTCTTTGTCTTTTTCTTTCGTTTTGTATATAAGTTTTGATCTCGGCTCGAGCGACTCGCTCTCATTTCCCTTCGGCATCTTTGTTTCAATATTGGTCCTAGTATGATGTCTCTCTCATTCTGTCTCAGTCCTCCCTCTTTTGTGTGTATGGGATAAACCAGCTCGGATGGAAATATATGTTTGTCGTTTTTGCCTGGACATCATCATTGCTTGTCACTTTGATCCGCTGTTAGCATGGTAGGAGTTCTGATGTTGTTGCGATGTCTGATGTGTGATGACACCTTGCATCTTCGAAAATGATTGCTTGTGGGACCACTGAGTGATTAGAGGATTGGGTAGCTGTCCATGACAGATTTGCTTTCCAACATCTTGATGCCCTCCGAGGAAGTACTCCCCTTATCCACTCACAATAAGAGATGGCAAAACACCCCAGGCTCTCGGTGCCCCTCCGGGGGCCGGGGTGACTCTGTTGTAATCTTCACGCCACCAATAGCAGCCCTTTACTTAGTCAGAAGCAGTCCACTCAGTTAATCCCAGGGGCTCTCTCTGGGCAATCAATGCTGGTGGAGTTTTTTTTTTTTTTTTTGCTGGTGGAGTTCAGAATCTACAAGCCTTTTGTTCTAAGCTCTTTCCATAATTTTATCTAAACTCCTTGTAAATGGAACACTGGATCCGGTTTCCAACAGGTGCTGCTCCCCACCAATAGACGGAGCCTCTGTCTTTAAAAAAAAAAAAAAAAAAGCCAGACATGGATGAATCTGACAACAATAATGTTGAGTGCCTAAGGAATTTCGGGAAACCACGTGGTACTTTCTAAGCCAAGATGTCATGGATTTCTACGAAGAAGTTTGGCCCATAGGAGAGATGGGAGAAAGGGTGGGACAAGGGATAAAAATGTTGTCCAACACCTTGACTGACAGAATGATCCCGGTAATGGAAACTATCATCCATCCTTCCCAAACCGGCTTCATGGAATATAGAAATATACAAGAGAACATTCTGTTAATCCACGAAGTACTCCAACTCACAAGACACTCCTGACAAAACGCAGCATTGGTGTTCATTGATTTTGAAAAGGCTTACGACCATGTGGATTGGTTGTTCCTTGACAAATGTCTGAAAAAGATGAACTTTGGACCAGATTTCAGACGCTGGATACAAATCCTGCACCAAAATGCAACTACCTATGTCCAAGTCAACGGATGCCTGACGCCATCCTTACGCCTGAAGCGGTCAGTCCGCCAGGGGGACCCTATAACCCCCTTCCTTTTTTTGGTCATTATGGAGGCACTAACTGCCAACCTCAGGGAAAATAAAAACATCACCAGAATCCATGTCACACACATTTCAGAGGATGCAATCCCAGTGTGCTCCCTTTTCACGGATGATCTCACAATTCTAGTGGAGGCTACGCATCGCAACATGGAAGAAATTCAACAGAGGATGAAAAAGTTTGCCAAAGTCTCCGACATGACAACTACCTAGGGGAGCAAAACACAAGGATGGTGAATCCACTATCAAGGGGGTCGTCCCCCAAAGTCACCGCGCGTCACATGGATGCCGTTAGAGA